TGTAAGACACATCGCAAGTCACATATGTTATAGGTACATATCGCACATACCGCAAAAAAAGTCACACAAATTCGAAATTTTTTATTACTGTTGTGCTGACTTTTTATGTGCAGATTGTATTCTAAGTATTTCGGCCTTCAATCAGGAAAAATGATGGAAGTTGAATTCAAGTACTTATCGCCTGAGTTCACTGTGTTTAACACTGCTATAACTAATTAATTTTTAAATTATTGTTTGCAAAAGCATAAACATCTGAAATTATATTCCATAAAATCAAACTTGCTTAAAATAATTTATAATTTGCGAAAAAAACTAATTCATAATATTATTATTAGGAAGTGTTATTATTAACGCAATTCCTTCTTTCCTCCCACAATTTTATTTCTTTGTCTTATGTTACTTTTCTTGCGATATATGGATTATGTACGCATATGGAAACACATATTTATAAAAGATGTAAGGGTTTATTATAAAAAAAATGTAAAGAGAATAATAAAGATGTAATTTTTATACATGGTGATTCGAATGTAAAAATGTAAACTTATTTACCATGTTAGACGAGCCTGTTTTACTATGTTGCAAGTGCACTCCCACAACTTTTGTATGGTGTTATACGAACTCATGTTACTCGGGGATCTACTGTACACGCAAGCAAGCTGCACACGCACACATACACACACAATTAATTTTTATTTTGCAGAAATGGTACTTAATTATTAGACATGAAGTGATTCATGATATACACAGTAAAAAATGTAAAAGTTAAAAGAAATTTGTAATACAGTTACTTATTGAGAAAGATATTTGAGAAAATAAAGTTGTATTTATTATGCCTTATAAATTTTTCTATATTTTGAATAAGAAATATTTCGTTTCTATTTACTTACCTAGATATATTAAAATCGTCAATTAAAATGCAATGGTACGTAAAAATTTAAAATTTTGTAATAATAATACAGTTAACATCGCTTTACGCACAAATCCGAATGCTAAAGATATATAAATCAAATTGCGATTCTCTGTTAGCTCCAAGAAGTCTCTGAATACTAAGAAGCATATTCGTAACTGACATCATATATATGTTATGTCACACAAACAGTTGCTAAGAGGTCACTCAACAGGAAAACGTTTTACTAGTTGATAGAAGAGCGCGGAAATTAAAATACGTAATCAGTTAGGTATGCATATAGAAACCAAAATCATAGTTTTTAGTTGCTGACAAACAAAATTGTTAAAGTATAATACTTATAAGTTTATAAAAAATATTAATTCTGTCTGTGAAATTGTATTAAGTTATTATGCAGTTAGACGTTTAAAATTGTAAATCTAATGGTACATGGTACAATGGTACATCTAATGTGACGCAAGTAAAATTTTATAAATTTTAGTTGTTATCTAATTCATACATTGCGACATAAAAATATGTATATTTTTCAGTTTCAAAAATATATTACCTGATAGTTTTACATTATTTATTTAATAATTATTTTTGATTCATTTATTTTAGTTTTGAATATTACCTTTGTAAAATCAGTCCCCATGTCACACTGTTGTTATGTTTAATATCTGAGAATGCAACGTAGTCTATTTTTGGTAACTTATCTACAGTAGTTTTACATTTAAAAAATAGTAAGACTTGTTGTGCTATACATTTAGCCAAATTTTAAACGGT